CCGGGCTGGGAGTCCCCCCCCCCCCCCCCCCCCCCCGAGTGCACAAATTTTTGTGCACCGGGCCTCTAGTTTTAAATAACACTCTAACTTGTTCTGCCCTCTGTTCTTCAAAATATATTTTATAATTACAACAATCAAAATAGGCATTTAGTTATTGCTGTTGAGTTTTTATTTACATTTCCAGCTTTTAAACAAAAAAAAAATGCATCCCACAAAGATATCCACTTAAAGTTTATAGATGAAATCACTTGTACAGTAAAACTATTAGTTTGGGCCAAAACCGGTTTGGCTCAGTGGATAGAGCGTCAGCCTGCAGACTGAAGGGTCCCGGGTTCGATTCCGGTCAAGGGCGTGTGCCTGGGTTTCGGGCACATCCCCAGTGGGAGATGTGCGGGAGGCAGCTGATCGATGTTTCTCTCTCATCGATGTTTCTGGCTCTCTATCTCTCTCCCTTCCTCTCTGTAAAAAATCAATAAAATATATTTTTAAAAAAACTATTAGTTTGGGTCCTTTATGCCTCAATCAGCAAAACAGGCATGATAATCCTAGTTTTAAATAATACTTGTTTGAAATATCATCCTTCCAATTTGTTTCCCACAATCAGACAAGGAGGAGAGGAATAACATAATAGCCCTTTTTTGTTTCATATAAAGTTATTTAACATTACCTGAATTATTTGATAAAGGGCTGTTTGTAATTTGTAGTAAATAACTCAAAAGGTAATTCAGTCTTCTTCATAAAATGATATTGCTTTGAGTAGCAAAAAGAGATGTAAGTGTTCATCAAAATATAAATTGGCTGCCACAATCGCATATCATTATTTTACATATTTAGACTAATTGTTGTGCTGATGTAATTACGTTGCTATTAGAAAATCTAATTTTTTCGCTATACAAAATGACTTCATCCTATTTGTCTCTGTGTCTTCAGTGCAAAGCAGAAACTTAACATGTATTAAACACTCTCAATACATAGAGCTGAATAATGAGAATAGTCCTGTTTGGAGGAAAGTGAGCATTGAATAACCTTTTCTATTAGTGGCAAAAAAAGAAAAAGCAGAAAACTCACTTAGAATTATTAGTAAGGGTCTCAACTATACATATACACATCCTGGGAAAATATCTGGAACCATGTGCCTCAAATGCAGCTACATGTTGCACAGTTCCCACTGAAATCTTACAAAAACGCTGTTAATTTACCTTTGTGACAAAGCTAACTAGCAGAATAATTCTGAACATCTAACCGAATCCTAAGGCAAAGCACTTTCCCAGCTGCCCCTTCTGCTGCTGCGGAAATGACCTTCAGGCACCTAAATTCAACAAGAGTTTACCCCCAAAGAAACATCTGGTTAAGCTGCTAGAAGAGAAGAAAGGAATTCTTTCCCTCAGAAAGTTTATGGGTTTGAAAGCAATAGAACTCGCCTCTATCTTCATCAGCAGTTTGCCCATTAATTAGCCCTTCAATTCCACTTCAATTAAATTAACTCTAATTAATAAGTTCATTACAAAGATCGACGCACCTTGCTCAGAGCTAGTGTGCTAAACGCTGATAAACACCTTGGCCCTAATGAAACATTGATTCGATGGATGGAAAACGGGACCTCGGAAAGAAACCCCTGTCTTCTGGCGCTTGGTTGACGTTCTGTTCCTCTGAAGTTAATCAAACCATCTAGATCTCTTAATAAAAAATTTAATTCCAACGAGCGAGGAAACGCAGCACGTAAAAAACACGGCCCGCTCTCTTCCAGTTCCTAGTCCTGGCTGTTGTTTGTAAGAAGTGTTCCGCCTCCCGCACCAGTGCAGGGTGTTGAGATTCTGCAGTACTTTGAGACAGAGAAGGGCGTGTCTGAGAAAGGTCATTTAGGCAGTGAATGGGGAACACAGGGCCCTGTGACTGCATACACAGTCACCATCTTTTAGTCAAAAAAGAGTGCGGTAGTGCATTTTCTCTGTGTTCGAAATGATGTCAGGGTTTTGGCGATCAGCATTTTTATTGCAAGAAAGTCAAAACTAAAGGATCGTTTTTCAGTCTTAGAAAAGAGTGACAGTTAACTTTATTTAACTTTCTCTGTGGACAGTAGAAAATAAAACGCCCTTCCACGTTGTCTCTGTCTCTCCCTCAATTGGATCCTATAAAAGAAAGCTTTTTAAGAAAAAGAAAAGTAATTCTGTACCTGAATTCTTTTTAAAGACCTAACCTATGATTATAGTTGTTATTTTTCATTTTGTCTGGGGTGGGTTTTTTTTTGGGGGGGGGGGGGCAAATTTTTTGTTAATCCTCACCTGAGGATAGCCTTTCCATTGCTTTTCAGAGAGAGTGGAAGGGAGGGAGGGGGAGAGAGAGAGAGAGAAACATCAATGTGAGAGGCACATGGATTGGTTGTCTCCTGCACATGCCCCAAACAGGTACGGGGAGTGACCCTGCAACCCAGGTACACGCCCTTTATTGAAAACGAATCCGAGACCCTTCAGTGCTCGGGCTGACACTCTAACCATTGAACAGCACCGGCCAGGGCCAATTACAGTTTTTAAGTCCTTTGGTCTCTTGTGCTCCGTTCAGCAGTTCCAGTCATTAGAAGCCTTGTTTCTGAACCAGCACAGTCAGTAGTTATGTGATTAGCCTGGTTTTCCGCTGTGGTTCTGCGAGGCAGCTTGTATCTGTCAACAATACGCATTACTGAACGGGGAAAACGCAGTTTCTTTCACTCAGCCAGCATGCCTGTGCCTCAGAAGCAAGCTAATGTGCATACTATAATAGATTCTTTTTAATTAATGTTTCTGAATATTTTAAAATTTTGAATCTAGGATTAGAAATAACACCTTTTCAATTCTTGCTGAAGGGGTGAAACCCAACCGCTGTTAGCCGCCTGCTTAGACCCTGACATACTTCATTGACTTACTGTTCATGTAATAAAGTAACACACGTGTATATGTGCTCTGGGCTGCCCAAAGGTACTCTCGGTTACATATGTGTGTATTTTCCTCTGGTTACGAATCATGTGTTCTGTTTCGTTAGTAGCCCATGTGCATATGTGTATATACATGTATGTATAATATAGGAAATGGTTTCTAAAACGGTCATGTGTATTTGATGCACGATTACAGCAGCATATAAAATTAAGTGATGGACAAAAACTGAACTTCTACCATTTATATGCTTAGTAGTTGACGCTGACATTTACTTAGTCCATAAATCCTGTGACTTTTGTTCAGTGATGGTGATCTTCACCTTCACACGGCTTCTTCATCCCCGTCTCACTCCCTGCTGCTCTTCTCTCCTGCCCCGCTCCCCTTTCCCTACAGAAATATGCTCCGTGGACTGCGGCTCACACGGGGTCTGCATGGGGGGCACGTGTCGCTGCGAAGAAGGCTGGACGGGCCCCGCGTGCAATCAGAGAGCCTGCCACCCTCGCTGCGCGGAGCACGGGACCTGCAAGGACGGCAAGTGCGAGTGCAGCCAGGGCTGGAACGGGGAGCACTGCACCATCGGTAGGCTGCGCCCCTGCACCCCCTGCCCCGCCCCCGCGCACCTCCCACTGTGCGCCCCTGAGCCCTGGGAAGAGCTAGTGTTGGCTGGGTTTCTACTCCGAAAAGCAGTAAACACGACAAACACACACACACACCCTGAGCCCTGGGAAGAGCTAGTGTTGGCTGGGTTTCTACTCCGAAAAGCAGTAAACACGACACACACACACATTCGGGGTCCAGACAACAGTGTGGTGGTTACCAGAGGGAAGGGGGCTGGGAGTAGTCAAAGGTAAAGGGGGACATTATATGGTGATAGAAGGAGATTCGGCTTAGGGGGTGAGCACACAATGCAATATCCAGATGATATTATGGGAATGTACACTTGAAACCTTCAGAATTTTATTAACCAACATCACACCAATGCACTTAATTAACATTTTTTAATTGCAAAAAAAAGCTGATTTCTTCTAATTAATTTTTACTCATCTTTATTAAACAGGAATTGTTTTTCAGTAACATTCTCATTTTACAATGGCAGTTTAGTTCTTTCTAGAACAACTGATGTGAGTGCGAAGTATAAGAAATTTTTATCCATTGTTTTTTTGTGATGGCCACAAAAATTGACCCACGTAAAGGTGATTTCATTTCTTACCTGTATATAAGCTTTCATTGACTATTACCTTTTAGTGTTCCATATTGCATGTGCATAACAAAAAAATATTTTTATTTTAAGAAAAAGTCTGGGTTCCCTTTTGGGCTTCTGTAGATTTGCAGAGTCCCACATCTTTGCACTGGTTAGTATACCTAGTACCACATTTTCAGGGTATTTGGTGCCTTTTTTGCTTTTACCATTTGAGTCACTAAAATGGAAACATTTAATTTTAAAAAAAATACAACAAAAATAAGTACAAGTGGCCCTTGAACAACACGGGTTTGAACTGTGTGGGTGACTGACCTGTGGATTTTTTTCAATAAATCCCTACATCGTGTTTGACCCACGGTTGGGAGTCTGCAATGCAGAGGGCCAAATGCATCCATCCACCTCCCCCATTTCGAAGCAGGCGGGGCATCTACAGAGATTGGCATGTGCGGAGGGTCCCAGAACGAGTCCTCCATGGAGCCTGAGGGACAGCTTTAAGTTTTCAGGGAGTCAAGAGTTATATGTGGGTTTTTGGCTGGATGGGGGTCGGTGACCCTAAGCCATGCATCATTCAAGGGTCCAGTGTAATCGATGCCTACCTCAGCTCAGTGAAAGTGTGCAATATCCTATATAATAAAAGGGTAATATGCAAATTGACCCTAAAGGCAGAACAACCAGTTGCTATGATGCGCACTGACCACCAGGGGGCAGACGCTCAATGCAGGAGCTGCCCCCTTGGTGGTCAGTGCTCTTCCACAGGGGGAGCGCTGCTCAGCTAGAAGCCAGCTCATGGCTGGCCACCACAGCGGTGGTGGTGGGAGCCTCTCTTGCCTCCGTGGCAGCGCTAAGGATGTCTGACTAACGGCTTAGGCCTGCTCCCTGGGGAGCGGACCTAAGCCGACAGGTGGACATCCCTCGAGGGCTCCTGAACTGCGAGAGGGCGCAGGCCAGGCTGAGGGACACCCCCCCCCCGCCCCGAGGGCACGAATTTTCGTGCACTGGGCCTCTAGTTAATTATAAATGTCACAGGCCTGCAACAATTTCATAACACTTGAGGTAGGGCGTTTCTCCACACCATTTTGTGTCTGTAGGGTAGAACTTGATAAAGCTTTCGGGGGAGTCTTGTTATCTTAAAAGGTTTCTTCTTCTAAAGTATCCATAAGGAGTACATACTTCGCTCTTTTTGCTTACAGGAATTGGTTAGCCAGGAAGTTTTCATGGGAACATTGAAACCACATATGTCCTATAAACTGTCACGGTTGTATCTTTGTAAAACGTCATGGGGTTCTCTCTAATCCTGCTGACATCCCTGACACTTGTTTCAATGAGCCCACTACCACCCCCCGTGTGGTGCCCACTGGCCAGGCTCACAAGCTGGGGTAGCCCTGCTCACAGGTAGTAGTTACCAGAGGGACAGGAGCCAGCAGGGGCGTCAGGGAAACCCACCCACAGGTGTCCCCCCAGAGGGGTCCCCCGCAGCATGCCTCTCTCCAGCAGTGACATGCGTCAGTGCGGGCCATGGTTCTGCCCAGGGAAGCCCCTTGGAGACTCAGGGTGCAAGGTTTTGATGGAGCTGCTCAAATAGGCAGCCTTGTGGGCCACAAGCAAACCACCGACATTCCCGAGGCTCCGCAGGAGAGCAGGTGTTTGGGGCTTCGGTTGGACAAATGAGCCTCATAGGGGAGGGAACAGCCAGCCCCCCAGATGGCAGCCAGGGCCCCAGATGGCAGCCAGGGGCAGCCTGCACACTCAAAGGTTCCCTCCCACCTGAGAGGCATCCCTGGGGTCTCATTGTCACAGATGAGCTCACTGCCCAGCCCTGGGGACACGAGATTCACAGCACCCATGGGTGCTCATCCCACGATTTCATGCAGCATCCCCCTCCACTGCTCTTGGAGAGGCCGCGTAGGGCAGTGACCGCCTGTTGTTCATGTGAACAACATTAGGTGGAGAAAAGTTGACAACCACAGTTTGTGTATCTTCCTGTGGACGCACAGGGGACCGGGCAATACCCCTGTGACCACACAGACCCATGTCAAGTCCCAGAATGCCCGCGTACCAGCGGAGGGCGGGAAAGGGCTCTGATCATGTTTGTATGTTATGACCCCACCCCCTCCCTACCCGGGCAGCAGTGAATCGATTCCAGCTGGAGAAAAGTTGCCTGTTGACTGTATGTATCCCAGGAAAGCAACAGACGCGTGCGTATCTAGCCGAGAAAACCAGGAAGCGAACTATAAAGTTAACAGGCAGGTTTAACTTGCCACCCAGCAGTTACTAAGCCCCACTGTTGTTCTCACTGACCGTGGCAGTGTCACGTGGCTCGTTTCTCACGTTGCGCTGTTCAGGAACAACTGTTCTGTGTCTGGCGACAAGCAGGATCGTTGTGATGAGGTAACATGTCTTGCTGCGGTCCTTAACAATTCCATTTCTACTGTTTCATTTTATTTTGCTGCTTTTGTAGTCCCTGTAAGTAACAACGTGGAAATAAAGGGCCTGCGTTATTTCAGCATAAATCCTGGAAGCGGACCCTTTTGAAGATGTAGAGAACCTTTAAAGCATTGCTGTCGCTCTTTAATACGATGAGAAGTATTGCTCCAGCTTGGACAGGCAAAGGTCTCACTGGTGGTCCCCTGGACCAGTGGTCGCCAACTGGTGGTCTGTGAGGTCCGAAAGATTGGCGACCGCTGCCCTAGACATGCCTGGGTACCTGCCACTGTGACCCTGAGGGGCCAGTGCCAGGTGGCCTTCAAGGGGCACTGATTAGACAACCCAGGGACCCGAGTGTGTCCTCATTCCGGACGGTCACTGCGCTGTGCGTTTCCTCTATTTCAACACGCAGGCATCTGGCTGGAAGGAGCTGCCACTTTGTGAGAGAATACTCATAAACCAGCCAGGCTTTTTTTTCTCATTCCATATGATGTGCCAGCTCATTGAATACAACCAGGGAGCTTAATTGAAAGAGAGATGAAGAAGAAGTTAAACAGTTAGAAGCACACCGACGTTCCCAATAGAAAGCAAAGGATATTCGTCATCGGTCATCTTCCTGTCTTCGTAGCTGTTTACGCTTTTCATGAAACCGTAGGGATTTTGATGCCAAAACAGGTTATGAATTTAGAGTATTCCCTGAACACACCATCTATCGGAAAGGATTGGGTCCTGATGTTTTATTTTTTATATATGTTTTTATTGGTTTCAGAGAGGAAGGAAGAGGGAAAGAGAAAAACATCAATGATGAGAGAGAATCATTGATCAGCTTCCTCCTGCACAGCCCCTATGGGGGAGCCACAACCCGGGCATATGCTCTGGCCAGGAATCAAACTGTGACCACCTGGTTCATAGGTCAATGCTCAGCCACTGAGCCAGCTGGGCAAGGTTCCTGATATTTTTATTAGGGTGTTCATATTTTCTTCTCATAAATCATACAGGGGTGGACAAAAGTAGGATTACCGTTGTTTGTATAGAAAATAATACAATAATTAATAAGTGATACAAGAAGAAACTTTTGCGTACTCACCACTGTCAGCCCACTTCTGCCCACCCTGTGTGTTCCGGTCAGGGTTGGAGAGGTGCTGCTGTTTAAAATCCTGGTGATGAGCAAGGTGCAGTCTGTTCTGTTGTGGTATTTCCTCCTGCGAATGCCTCAAACACAGAGTTGCTTATTGAGCTACATTGATTTCCATGTTCTTTCAGGCAATTCAAATGGAAATTTGGCCTAGGGGAAATCCTAATTCCTTTAAGCTACAAAAGACTAGCTATTTGTTTTTATTCTAATTCTTTAGTACACTGGGAAACAAGATCATTAATGATCACAAAGACACGCTTTGTGTGTTCAGAGGAAACTTAGACGCGCAGCACTCAGCACACCTCCATTCAATACGGGTTGCTCTGGGCTTTGCGATGCTGCCATTAGCGGTTGAAAATGAAATACACACAGTTGGGGAGTTTCCTACTGAACAATAGGGGGTAAGAGAACGATCAAAACTATACCAGGGGAACACTCCGGTCTGTTGTTCTTTTTCTCAGGAAAATGGTGAAAGGGTCGTCTTTTAATTGTTAAATTTAAAAAGTGAGTGACAATTTGGGGGTTTGGGGCGGGGGGGAGACATTCTGATAAAAGTTTCACTTGGATTACAAAATCAATATTTTTTGTAACTTTTGTGATGTTCCTAAATTGGCGATCGTATTCATAATGATATAGAACAGGGACATTCTAAATTTGTCTTTTTTGCATTTTCATTCGAGCTCTATGGTTCCCCTTACCAAGTGGACATAGGGTGGCGTTTACACCTGCCAGGGGCCCCCTGGGGGACATGGGACCTCCCCTCTGGCAGTGTGACTCAGTCCATAGGAAAGGGGTCTCTAGCGCCCCCTGCCTGGTTCC